CAGAGAGGATCATAAATATCTATATAATATATCATAAATAAAGTTAATAATAATAATAATTACCAATAGGAAAATCATGAGGCTTCTTTAATTCATTTTCAGGCAACTATAATTATAAAAGAAGACTATAAAATATCAAAATAATTAATAATTAACATACCTGCTTCATTTCATGTACATGTTCATGACAAGTAATTTTTATGATTCTGATCTCAGCCAATAAATGACACTGTTGATTGGTTAATGGAAAGAGAACAGAATAAAGAAAATCAGGAATGGAATATTTTAATTCCATGCAGCCATCGTCAATTGTACAAAAATAGAAGTTATATTGAGGAACTTCAAGTGCATCAGCGATTAGCTTGTGAAAGAAATATAAATCATTTAATGTGTAGTCATCTCTGGCAACCTTAGCAATCATTACTTTAGTGCCTGGAACATCAGAAAGACCAAACTCAATTGAGTCTGCAATTTGAACTGCTTTAGCATTGTTATTTTTAAAATAATCTTTTAATTTCTCACGATATGTAGACCACTTCCTCTGTAAATCTCTGTCATCAGTAATGAAAGTATTGACTAACTTGACAACAATTTCAAAATTGAACCACGAAATGTATTTCTCCAATATTCTAAACAGCTGCTTCATTGTTTGAATGTGGTCAAACTCTTTTTTCATTGGCTCAATCACTTCATATTTATCAAAACGTGGACTGAGTAAAAGTGCAATGTAATCTTGAATGAAATCGACAACTTCTGAGACATCAATAGAATGAAACGATTTTTTAGTAAAACGCATATTATCAAGGTAAACTTCTTGTAGATCTCCAATCATTCGTGTCATCATGTTTTTGGGTGAGTATTCAGTTGATTTCTTCTTAATGTAAACGACTAAAGACTCAGATTGAGGTGAAGTGGGAGCTGGTAGCTCAACAGTTGGAGTAGCTTCTGAATAATAAATAAATTAAAATGATTATTGAATATCGTATTATATTTACCTTTAGAAGATGATGTATGAACTGGTGTTGTAGTAGCCTCTCCACTACTAGTAAGATTAAATTCTTTTGCTATTTCATCAGCTAGAGCTGGATCAGCTCCTCCACTATTACTTTTAATGGAGTTACACAGCATTCTTAATGTAGGGACACCATGACTCTTATAGTCATAGTTCCTACTTAACCAGCAATCAAATACTTTCTGTAGACAACCTCTGGCCGACTTTGTCTCTGCTTCAATCGCATATAACTTTTTGTAGCTGATTCCCAGCATAATTGCTACAGAGTCCCAGCGTCCTGACAAGACAGCAGCCTTTTCCCATACCAGTCGAAAATCAGTAATATCTACCATTAATAATACTAATAAAACAATTATTATGAATATCTGCGCTCACTAAGTTCTCTGTCAAAGGCTCTTTTCAGCTCCTCAGGTTTGGTTGACATTTTTGCTGAGGCAGAGCAGCTACGCCCTTAGCAAGTTTGCAACACACTGAGCCCCACCCTAGTTATAAAATAAACTAGTTAATAACTGCCCCGCCCCTCAGTACAACATGAATTGAGGAGAGGAGGAGGAATGGTCAGTTTCAGTTTGAACATAGATATTAAAATGACAGGTAAATGGTTTGAAGGAGAGAGAAGACTAGTATATCTTCTCTTTTCTTTCAATATCTCTTGTAATGGCTGCCAATAGCTCCTTAAATCATTCATTCTCTCTATTTAGAGATTTTCTTTCTGATAGCCCGTTTTCTAGAGGAGAGCTCTTGTAGGAGAGCGTCTAAGGTAGGACAAAGACGGGCGAGTCCTTTCTGTTTGTTTTTGAAGAGAAGAGACACGCCATTACACGTGGTCACTCATTCTTGTTCTTTCTCTATCTTGTTACAGGTACTGATAGAAGAGTTGG